ATTCAAAACAAGAGAGGCTTCAATAAGAGAGGATGGGAAGCAGTTCTTGACCTCCCCTCCTACCTCACTTTCCCCAAATACAAGTCTAGAGTTCTTGTATTGCCCTGTAAATAAGGTAAGTAGGATGATGGGAACCATAACATTAAAGTTGAGGTCTGTATTTTAACATTACTTTTCTAAAAAGGCATTTGGAATAACTATTTGCTGCCTTTTCCTTTGTCCTTCTTAAGGTCATAAAACACCTGGGGTAAAGGTAATATTTGCAGTCAGCCAACGGACAGAGAGTGTTGTCGAACAGAGTGTTGTCGGTGAGCACCTTGACTACTGCCAAGGTCTCCTGGACTTGGGACTCAGTGTGATACATTGCTATAAATCTCATTCTGCTTGGATTAGATGAAAAAGCTGCAGTGTGTGCTTTGAACTTTGCTTAGATTCAAGTATAAGCTGTAAATAGAGAGAAGCACAAATCGAATCTGTAGGTAGGTGCAGACTCTGTGGCTATGGAGAGCCAGCTGTATAATAGCAATCTATGTATTTTCACTGCATGCATTCCTTCAAATTTTAAAAAATCAAAATCCATTGCTTTCTATCGCATGGACTCAATTTTGGCAAAAACATGAGCCTGGATGAGCGTTGACATTTAAATGGGGGCTATCAGTTTTCCTGAATGTCTCTTGAATTGTTGCTATAGCTTAGACATGGGCAAACTTTGACCCTCCAGGTGTTTTGGACTTCAACTCCCACAATTCCTAACGGCCTCAGGCCGAAGTTTGCCCGTTCTTGCTGTAACTGCTGAGTCGAGTTATAAAAATATGGAAGATGGGATATAGAATCATAGAGTTGGAAGAGACCTCATGGGCCATCCAGTCCAACCCCCTGCCAAGAAGCAGGAAAATCACATTCAAAGCACCCTCGACAGATGGCCATCCAGCCTCTGTTTAAAAGCTTCCAAAGAAGGAGCCTCCACCACCCTCCAGGGCAGAGAGTTCCACTGCTGAACAGCTCTCACAGTCAGGAAGTTCTTCCTAATATTCAGGTGGAGTCTCCTTTCTTGTAGTTTGAAGCCATTGTTCCGCATCTTAGTCTCCAGGACAGCAGAAAACAAAGCTTGCTCCCTCCTTCTTATGACTTCCTTTCACATATTTATACAGGGTGCAGCAGCATAACTTCCTTTTTTCAAAACTTAATAAAACCCATTGTATGAATCAGATTTTTTTATATATATAACTTAGGCACATACCTAAAGTTTTGTTTTACGGAGTTTTGAAGATCAAATTAGGTAGGTGACGTCCCCCATTCTCCATACACTGAGTAAACTGATTTCTGACATTTGTCATGACTCTTGCCAGCATAGCATGTGTAATGTTGGCAATTTCTTCCTGGATGTTTGTCTTCAAATTTTGTAGGGTCCTTGGATGGTTCACATAAACACGGGATTTCAAAAAATCCCATAGAAAAAAATCACAAGGGGCCAAATCTGGAGAGCGGGCTGGCCACTCCAAATCCGCTCGAAAAATAGGCCTCAGCGGCAAAAGCACGCTCCTCACTGTTCCAACGCATGATGGCAACTGAACTGTGTCAGGACAAAACTTTATACTCCCACCTCTAGAACAAGACCACTAGCTCTCCTCTACGTCTTCAACCGACTGAATGGCGCGCATTTTAAAAAAGGAAGTTATGCTGCTGCACCCTGTACATGGCTATCATGTCTCCTCTCAGCCTTCTCTTCAGGCTAAACATCCCCAGCTCTTTAAGCCACTCCTCATAGGGCTTGTTCTCCAGACTCTTGGTCATTTTAGTTGCCCTCCTCTGGACACAATCCAGCTTGTCAATATCTCTCTTCAATTGTGGTGCCCTTTTCTCATTCCAAATTCCAAGCAAAATTTAGCACTGTTAAAGTTCATTCCAGCAGTACTTAACAGTACCCGCAATGGGTTGACATAATTAAACAGCTTTTGATATTGCATTGACAAAATTAGATTGCCAGATATTTAGTTGGAAGTACCTGCATCGAACACAATTTTTGATTCTCAGCTTGGTATCCCAGTATTGCCAAGTATTTTTTATATAAGAACCACAATATTTTGTCACTTTAAATCAGGACATCTTGACACTTTCCTTAAAGATAAAACTGTCATGCAGGATTCCTGCGTCATTTTTTTATTTTGGCGTCAATGTACTGTGAACTTTAGAACTGAGACTTTAGGAAGCAAAAGCACAGAAAACCTGGCTACTTGTGTTGCTGCTTAATGACCCTTTTATAACTTCCTGATGCTGAAAAGGTTAGAGACAAAAGAAATCCTTTTGCCATTTGCATCATGTTGTGACTTTTATTTGAGTAGGATGTCTCAAGCGAATTGCTGGCAAACAAAAGCAATTCAGCAAGGTAAGTAGGGTTTCTTTGTGTGCTCTTTCATGGTTTTTCCTTTTCATTGCCACTCAGACATGGTAGATGAACAGCTTTGTCCTACTTGCTAATTCAGATATATGCTAACTTTATTTCCCTTTTGACCCAGGGTCATTTCCTTCCTATCACATTGTAATTGCTACATTTATAAATCTTGAACACATTGTCTCTGGTGCAGTCAAGCTTGGAAAATCCTAGCAAAAATGAAAATAGTAATCCAGTTTAATTTAACAGCAAAGGAAAAAAGCATAGGGGACATATTTAGCAGATTTATGTTTTTCCCTTTTAAATGATTTCTCTCATTTCAGCCATTTATATAATCTGAATAAAGTTGATTGTATAGATACATAATTGTCACAGTTTGGAGCTAATATTGTTGATAGAAAAGCAGTTAAATTGCAATCCTCATTGTTGTATTTTAAAATATATTTTGCTTTCAGGAATGCACTTCCATGCACTGTATTTATTTATTTCTTTTATTTACTATACTTTCTCAACCTTATCGGCGACTCAAGGTGGTTTACAACAAGTCAGCACACATAACAACATACCAATTAAACATTAAAACAGTATAAAACCACAGTAAAAACAATAAAACCAACATCATTATCATCAGTGTCTCCTAGATAAAAAATGTCCAAGTTCCATGGTCAAATGATTCAATTTCTTATGTCAGTTACTCTACATTTGTAAATGCTTGCTCATATAACCATGTCTTAACTTGTCCCTGAAACATTAAGAATGAGGGAACCAATCTAATCTGTGTTCCATAACCGAGGGGGCACCACAATGAAGGCCCTGTCTCTCGTCCCCGCCAAACGTACTTGTGATGAAGGCGGGATTGAGAGCAGGGCCTCCCCGGACGATCTTAAAGTCCTAGATGGTTCATAAGGGGGGATGCGTTCGGACAGGTAAATTGGCCAGAACCGTAGTACTATCAGTACTAACTGAAAGAAATCAAAATACCATAACACTGAGGCAACAACATAACAATTGCTAAATTGTTTGGGTTTTGTTTGCTTTTAGAGGTAATGGTTGTGAAGTATATATTCATTTCATTGTTTCATTTAGATACTTGTATCCAACATTTCTTTACAAGAGGAACCCCAAAACATCACATAATAACATACTAACGATCATAGAATAAACACATGGCACATATTTTGGGCAAAGCCACAGACACACAATACTTCACAGCTAGTCCATCAGTGGTTCCCAACCTTTGGGTCCCCAGGCGTTTTGGCCTACAACTCCCAGAAATCCCAGTCAGTTTACCAGTTGTTGGGATTTCGGGGAGTTGAAGGCCAAAATATCTGGGGACCCACAGTTTGAGATGCAAGTGTTGAGGTATACCATTAGAAGTATGCAACCTAAAATTAGCCGACACTAAGAGAGGATGGCTCAGGCTGTCACTGAGCTTTGCATTCAGGTGTGCATCTGAAATCAGACCTGAAAGTATCAGTGCAATTGTCATGTCATTGATCAGGTCCAAAGGGGCCAAGGCCTCAGAATAAGACAGTTCCTCAATGCTAAGCACAAGATCAAAGGAGACTTAAATTCACCCCACAGCACTATAACAAGCAGCAGACTCAACATAAACAGTGTGACGTTATGTCCAAGCACACAGCTCATGAAGTGGGATTCTTTTCTGTGGATCCAGACATTCCCCCCCTTATTTCATCTGCAGTTCTACCTATGTGATTGACATTGAAATGTTTATCTCTACCACTTAGGAAGCTGTGAGGATAAATATAACTATAATGCTGATCTTATTCCCCTCCCACCAGTTTTGCAAGTATGTAGAATTTACAGCTTGCTTACTTACTTAGGCGATCCCTCGTAGTCCGAGGATGATGGTCCTCCAAGTTCGGTGTTCTGGTGGTGGGTTCGTAGGTGACTGTGGAGCCCTATTCTTGATCTGCATCTTCTCCCAAAGTGAGGACATCGGTTTCCTGGTGGAAGGTGGTCCCGGTCGGGGTTGGCTTGATGCACCTTCCTCTTGGCACGTTTCTCTCTTTTGCCCTCCATTCGTGCCTCTTCAAATTCTATAGCACTGCTGGTCACAGCTGACCTCCCAACTGGAGTGCTCAAGGGCCAGGGCTTCCCAGTTCTTAGTGTCTATGCCAGAGTTTTTAAGGTTGGCTTTGAGCCCATCTTCAAAACTCTTTTCCTGTCCTCCAACAATCCATTTTCTGTTCTTGAGTCCAGAGTAGAGTAACTGCATTGGGAGACGGTGGTATAGCAACCGAAAAAAATGGCCAGTCCAGCGGAGTTGATGGCAGAGGACCATTGCTCCAATGCTGGTGGTCTTTGCTTCTTCCAGCACCCTGACATTTGTCCGCTTGTCTTCCCGAGAGATTTGCAGGAATTTGCAAGAGTTTTACAGCTACAATGTCATAACTAAACATTTCTTTGCAGAGCTTGGTTTCTTCTCAATCCTGTATATCTCATTGGCCTGAAGACTTTATAGGACTGAAAAGATACATGTGTGTCCACACTAATTGACTGACTTTTACAGAATCCACTTTGTTTCAATAGTATAATTGATGTATGATTCTGTCAATAAGAATGTGTTTTGTTTTTGTTTTCACAGTGTCCAAAAAACACGGCAAGCTTATCACTTTCCTGCGCACATTCATGAAGTCTCGGCCAACGAAACAGAAACTGAAGCAACGCGGGATCTTAAAGGAGAGGGTTTTTGGCTGCGATCTCGGAGAGCATCTCCTCAACTCTGGCCATGATGGTAAGGATGAAGAGTGTAAGGATTTGCCAAGGGCTTGACTGGTACATTGGGGTATTCCACCTGCAATCTTTTGCTCTCCATGCTTACAGAGGATTTGAGGCTCTGTTCATGAATGGTTGTCTTACATGGAGATGAAGAAAGAGAACTCCCTCTAAGCCTCTTAAGTCCTTATCTATTTTGCAATGTAAGGAGAGAAAAGGAGAGTTCTCTAAGCAGAAGTCCATTTATGCAGAACTCATAATCAAGTGTCCCGGATTTCCATTCTCTTAAGAGATGAGGTTTTCAGATAGGTCCCATCTGATATCCGGCTCTTTTGGAACATCACAATTCTGTGTAACACTGGATGAATTTGCTCACTCTTGTTGATTTTGACATCAGTCACAGATGATTCATGTAAACAGGCTGCTCTGGCAGTGATTGTTTAGGAAAGAATCAGGCCAGTCCATTTTTCCAGGAATGAAGGGCATCTGGAAGGAAGCCAAAGATAAATTGTCATCTTTCTGACATACAGCTCCCCCCCCCCTCCCCATTTTGTTCAAATCTTTGCTACCAGAACGTGTCTTTACAAAACAAGTATCATTCTCCTTGGCAACTATACGGCTCATCACACATCAAAGTCCGTATTGCTGTATTTTCCAATGTTTGCCTTAAGGTTGAGGCTGGCGAGGCTAAAATCCCTGGATTTAGTTGTACTTCGGCATTTGCACAAGGACGGAGAGGAGAGCTATAGAGGAATGGAATTAATGGCTCAAAGGGGACCAAAAGGTTATCTGATGAAAACTGCTGCTCTGTGGAAGAGACTTTGGTTCCCAGGAAAGAGTGGATAATGGGTGGGCGCACTGTATAACTTATCCTTCGTCTAATTTCAGGATAAGTGTCACTAAAGAGGAATAAGTTTGTAGCACATGCTGAGTGCGCCACTTTTCTATGTGAATATATTTATTAGCATGGTGTTTTATGATTTTAATTCTTTTATTATGTGATGTTTTATGTGTGTTGGCTGTTGTAAATTTATGTTGTCATTGTTTCTTTGCTACTAGCTGTCCCCTGCCACGCATTGCTGTGGCCCACTCTGGTGGTCATGGGGGTTCTGTGTGGGAGGTTTAGCCCAATTCTATAGTGGGGGGGGGGGGTTCAGAATGCTCTGTGATTGTAGGTGAACTGCAAATCCCAGTAACTACAACTCCCAAATGTCAAGATTCTATTTTCCCCAAACTCCACCATTGTTCACATTTGGGCATGTTGAGTATTAGTGTAGAGTTTGGTCCAGATCCATCATTGTTTGAGTCCACAGTGCTCTCTGGATGTAGGTGAACTACAACTCCAAAACCAAAGGACACTGTCCACCAAACCCTTCCAGGATTTTCTGTTGCTCATGGGAGAACTGTGTGCCAAGTTTGGTTCAATTCCATTGTTGCTGTGGTTCAGAGTACTCTTTGATTGTAGGTGAACTATAACATTGTGTTGTTAGGTGTCTTGTGTCCAAATTTGATGTCAATTCATCCAGTGGTTTTTGAGTTCTGTTAATCACACGAACAAACATTAAATTTTTATTTATATAGATGTATTGTTTATTTTTTGTCCGGTACTTGGAGTGCTTCTGTGAGCCGCCCCAAGTTCCTTTGGGGAGATGGTGGCGGGGTATAAATAAAGTTATTTATTATTGGCAGTCTCACAGTGTTCAGTTGACTCTATGGTCCCCTTTTCCAGACACTCATGTAATACCCAAGTTTGTGTGTTCATGCACAAATTGATATTTGAATCTGGTGAAGCTAACCTAGAACAGGAATATGTCTAGGGGAAAGTTCTTACAGCTTCAAAAAACTGGAGACGGGGAAGTTGAAGAATGTATAGCTGTGAGAGTCAGGACTCGTGGAGGAATCATGAGGGGGTTTCAGAGGGGTCACCAAAGACCATCAGAAAACATATTTCTGATGGTCTTAGGAACCCCTTTTGCCGAGAAGGCTGAAGATCTTTCCGCCTCTCCTTCTCTTTCTTTTTGGAAACAGTTGGTGAATCCTACCACCAAAAGCCCTCCTCCGCTGTGATTGGCCAACCTCTTAGCCAAGAGGAGGGCTGTTTCTGAAACTCCAACCAGAGAGGGGAGAGCAGGCAAGCTCAGTGCATGGCAGTATGGTGCGCATATGCGGGTGAGGGAGAGTGTGCAAGGCTGGATGAAGGCTCGTGCCAGTGAGTCCCTTCTACACATGGGGGTTCTGTATGAGAGGTTTGGCCCAATGCTGTCGTTGGTGGGATTCAGATTATTCTTTGATTGTAGGTGAACTATAAATCCCAGCAACTACAACTCCCTAATGTCAAGCTCTGGGCATTTGAGTATTTGTGCCAAATTTGGTCCTAATCCATCATCTTTTGTGTGGGTCGACAGTGCTCTCTGGAGGTAGGTGAACTACAACTCAAAAACTCAAGGTCAATGACCACCAAATCTTTCCAGTATTTTCTGTTGGTCATGGGAGTTCCGTTTGTCAGGTCTGCTTCAATTCCATTGCTGATGAAGTACAGAATACTTTTTGATTGTAGGCTAGCTATAAATTTCAGCAACTACAACTCCCAAATGGTCAAGGTCTATTTTCCCCAATCTCACCAGTGTTCACATTTGAGCATATTGAGTATTCATGCCAAGTTTGGTCCAGATCCATCACTGTTTGAGTCCACAATGCTCTCTGGATGTAGGTGAACTACAACTCCAAAACTCAAGGTCAATGCCCACCAAACCCTTCCAGTATTTTCCGTTAGTCATGGGAGTTCTGTTTGCCAGTTTTGCTTCAATTCCATCATTGGTGGAATACAGAATGCTGATTGCAAGGGAACTATCAATCCCAGCAACTACAACTCCCAAATGACAAAATCAACCTCTTTGATTGTAGGTGAACTATAAATTCCAGTAACTACAACTCCCAAATGACAACATCAATCCCCCAACCCCACCAGTATTCATATTTGGGTTTTGGGTATTTGTGCCAAATTGGGCCCAGTGAATGAAAATACATCCTGCATATCAGATATTTACATCACAATTCCTAACAGTAATAAAATTATAGTTGTGAAGTAGCAACAAAAATATTTTATGGTTGGGAGTCACCACAACATGAGGAACTGGATTAAGGGGTCACAGCATTAGGAAGGTTGAGAAACACTGGTGTATAGTGTGGGGTTGCATTCTTTTGAAAAGTAAATTGCTGCTCCTGGAGACTTAAATAGAAGAAGCAATTCATCTTTTTTTTCTTTTATTCATGTATTTATTCATTGGCCAGAAAAATGATGGCCCAAGATGTCAGGAGAGGTCAAGGGCATGTGACCAGAGAGGTGCACTTTGTCTACTCCTGACCTAATGGAAGAGGTTAATGTGAACCACCATTATGTTCCTCTGCTTTAAGATATATCTTCTGAAGTATCCTATTAATGCTTTTATGATTTGTTGCTTCTTCCTTTTATAGCTAGACAGTATGATGCAAATTCCCTGTTTAGTGCTTACATCATCGCATGAAGACATGCCCTTTGTCTCAGTGTTGAGTATTAATCATCATTGTGTCAATACTTACACAATTAGCATGTTCCATTACCGCTTCGTGATCTTATGCCCTGGGGAGTTTTATGTCGTATTTTTCACTCCACATGCCTTTCTTGTGGCTCAGCGCTTGCTTGTGTTTCAGCATGTGTTTTTTTTTAGTACTTGATTGGATGGAAAGCTGACTTCAATGGAAGGCGATGAAATCAGACAATCTTTTTAATCTTAATTGGTAGGACATTCCTTGTTGAGATTTTGCATTTTGAGCTGTGAAGCTTCTCTTTGCAGGTGAGAAAGATGAGTTGAACATTGAAAGTACGTAGAAAGAATTAAAAAAAATGATTTCACACATACTGGGGAATTGGGTTGTTGTAGGGTTTTTTGGGCTATATGGCCATGTTCTGGAGGCATTCTCTCCTGACATTTCGCCTGCATCTATGGCAAGCATCCTCAGAGGTAGTGAGATCTGTTGGAACTAGGAAAGTGGGTTTATATATCTGTGGAATGACCAGGAAACCATGAAAATGAACAAAATCTGGCTGCCAGTATTTAAAAAACTTTAAAATTACAACAGCAAAACAACAGAGAGGAAACAAACAAGGACATCTAATCACCTCTCAACAAAAGATTGCCCCAGGCACTGCCAGGCCATCAAATGCTAATCAAGGTGGTCAGTTGAAACATTTACACCTAGCTCCAACAGACAAGAGTTCTTTGTCCCACCCTGATCATTCCACAGATATATAAACCCACTTTCCTAGTTCCAGCAGACCTCACTCCCTCTGAGGTTGTTGGCCATAGATTTACTTTACTTATTTAGGCGATCCCTCGTTGGTCGAGTAAGATGGTCTTCCATGATGGGTTTCCTTGTGGATTCGTAGGTGGCTGTACAGCCCTATTCTTGACCTGCATCTTCTCCCACAGTGAAGGCATTGGTTTCCAGGTGGAAGGCGGTCCCAGTCGGGGTTGGCTTGACGCGCCTTCCTCTTGGCACATTTCTCTCTTTCACCCTCCACTCGTGCCTCCTTGAATTCTGCAGCACTGCTGGTCACAGCTGACCTCCAGCTGGAGCGCTCAAGGGCCAGGGATTCCCAGTTCTCAGTGTCTATGCCAGAGATTTTAAGGTTGGCTTTGAGGCTATCTTTAAATCTCTTTTCCTGTCCACCAACGTTCCGTTTTCCGTTCTTAAGTTCAGAGTAGAGCAACTGCTTTGGGAGACGGTGGTCAGGCATCCGGACAACGTGGCCGGCCCAGCGGAGTTGATGGTGGAGGACCATCGCTTCAATGCTGGTGGTCTTTGCTTCTTCCAGCACGCTGACGTTTTTCGCTTGTCTTCCCAAGAGATTTGCAGGATTTTCCGGAGGCAGCGCTGATGGAATCGTTCCAGGAGTTGCATGTGACGTCTGTAGACAGTCCACGTTTTCGCAGGCATATAGCAGGGTTGGGAGGACAATAGCTTTATAGACAAGCACCT